CCCCCCCCCCCCGCCCCCCCCCCCCCCCCCCGAGTCCCGACTGGGGGGTGGTGATGGTGGGGTGGGGGTTCAATTTCCCCCTCCCCAAAATTTCAAGGAGGGGAGGGAAATAATAATAATACTTTTTTTTATACAAGCAGAGGGTTTGCTCTCCCCACACGGAGGAGAAAAGGGGGGGGACCCCCCTCACCCCCCCACCCCCCCCGGGGCTCACATGAAGAAGTCGGCGGCGGGTTTAGGGGCAGCGGAGGGGGAGGGGTCCCTCGGGAAACCCCGGCCGGCTAACTTCTCGTATTTTTCTTTGTACAGATCCCTTTCCTTGGCCAAACGGGTCACCTCTTGCTTGAGTTGCTCCACCTGACTCTGGAGTTGACATTTTTCGTTCTCCAAGATGTGCCGCTGTTGGACCCGCTTGTACCGGCAGGATTGAGCGTAGCCTCGGTTCTTCAAGGTCCTCCTCTTCTGCTTGAGGCGGATCACCTCCTCCTTGCTGAAGCCCCTCAGCTGCCGGTTCAGCTCCCGTACCGACATACTCACCAACTGATCATCGGAGAAGCGGTCCTCCAAGCGCAGGTGGTGATGATGATGATGGTGATGGCCGGGATGGTGATGGGCGGCCGGTGGAAGCTCCTCACCACCGAAAGGTTGAGGTCGGAAAGGCTCGTAACCTTGATGGTGATGATGATGATGGTGAGGGGCCCCGATCAACGCCTCCACCGCGTCCTCGGGTGTCAGGTTGAGAGCTTCGGGGTTGAGGTGATGCTGGTAACCCGACATCCAATACAGCTCCTCCAGCTGAGGTTTGGAGCCCAGGGAAGCGGCGGTGGTAGCTGGGGGCCCGGGAACCGGTTGCCCACCTGGACTGGGAGCGCAAAAACTGGGCGAGGAAGGCACGGAGGAGCAGGGCGTGCTGAGCGGGGTGGAGGAGAGGGAACCGGCGGGCAGACGGTGGCACAGCCGCTCCGCCTCCGCCGGCTCCTTCTTCACCTCGAACTTCATCAAGTCGAAATCGTTCACGTACTCGATGGCGAGGGGGCTGGTGGGCAGCTCCGCGCTCATGGCCAGCTCCGAGGCCATCTCAGTCCATGGAGGGAGCGGGGGGTGATCCCCCGGGCACCGTCGTTCACCGAGGGTTGGGGATCCCGAGGGCTCCGGGAGCTTCCTCCGATCGGGCTCCGGGGTTCTCTCTCCGCTGCAACCGGTTGCCCCCGACGGGGCTCCGCTCCCGGGTACGGCCGGGCTCCGGGAGCCTCCGAGGGGGCTTTTGGTGCGGGGTTCAGCCCGGCTCCGGGAGGCTCCGAGGGGGCTCCGCTGCGGGCTGCGGCCGGGCGCCTCCACCGGGGCTTCGGTCCGGGGCTCTGCTCCGCTCCGCAGCCGGGCTCCCTTTGCTGGATTCTCCACCGGGGCTCTGCACCGCGTTGCAGCCGGGCTCCGGGACCCCTCCGCCGGCTCCGCCGGCCGTTTTCT